TTTTGGGGCCAGGCTAAAATTTTTTAATTTTTTGCCTTGTTGGTATCATTAATCTTTTATGGCTTCAGGCAGAAGCTTCTAGTTGCCCCCAAATACTCCTTCCTCGGTAATAGGATCTTTGTATCTAGATGCCACCCACAAAAAAAAAAATACATTTCCCAGCCTTCTTTGCATTTAGGGGTAACCGTGTGATAGTAGCAGTTGCAATGTGTGCCATTTCCAGGAAATACCCATCTGGCTGGAATACAGGCACAATGTCTGGTGCTCCAGCAGCCATCTTTGGCCATTAAGACACACTGGAGCAGCAAGGTAGAAGGACTTTGGGTATCTGACCCTGTGACTATGTGATGAGAAAAGGGGAGAAGGAAACACCAGTCCTGCTTAGGCTGTAATCTGGAGGCTTTTCGTTGTCACTCTTTTTTTTTTTTTTTACAACGAAAGCAAGATCCATGCTTTATGAACACATTATTCTCACATGTCTGCGTGACAGGTTTGATACACAAGATTCTTGGTTCATTTTACAGATTCTGAAACCAATTAGCTCAAAAGGTGAATTCTGAAACCATGGTTGGTGTAGCAAATGAATATATCAAAACAAACTTTAAAAACTTCATCCAAATATTTACATTTAAAAAAGACATTTAAAAAATAGGCTACTTATTAAGTGTGCTTGAACAAACCATGTGTGGAATTGAATTCCATTCATTACGGAGTTAGTTTTCTGCTAAACACATACTGATACTATAGAAGACCCTGGCAGTTGAGGATTTAAGTTTTCAACTGTTCCCAATCGATGCTAAAAAATAAAACATGACAAATGTTTTCTGAGGCACTAATTTGAACCTCAGCAGTGGAAAGGCTAGCATGTAAGGCAAATTCCTTAGGAGTCAGACGGGCTGGCACCTGTGGTGGGCCCTAATGGTTGTGCCTGGGGCAAGTCACTACCCACTGAGCTTTAGTTTCTTCCTGTGTAAGGTGGGGTTGGTTCTGGGTGTGGGAAGCCTTCAGATGAACTAGAGATAGGATATGTCACCAGGAAAGTGGAAGGCCCTGGCCCCACAAAAGGCCCACTGTGCACCCCCATCCACACCTTGGGTCTTCATCAAGGCTTCATCTATGTTACAGCCTGGGAACCAGGTGGGAGGGCTCTGCCCCAACCAGCCAAAGGGTGGGTCAGTCCGTTATTGAGCCATCTTTGGACTGAGGATTAGTGAGCACCGGCTCCCTAACTTACATCTAGTCATCCACCCACCCGCCCATGGACCCCTCTACCATGTAACCATCTACCTGGGAATCTTCCCCCCCCCCCCAACCCTGCACAGAGCAGTTGCCAGGGCGCTGGCTGGAGGTGGGGACTGCTGAGCAGAGCTCTCACTGCAGAGATAGTTGAGGTGCGTGAACCAAGCAGAACAACAAAAACTGGAGATAAGGTAGCCCTCCAGTGTGAGGCCCACGAGGCCCCTGCCTTCGGGATCACTGACACCCCTCTGGTTGTATGGGTGCTCCCAGGCCTTGTCCCTGTGTTTGTTCAGGTGCCGAGTGCCATGCCTGGCAGGACTGGGAGCCCTGGGGAAGAGATCACAAGCTGCCCCTCCCTGTACCCCAGGGGCTCCTGAGTCAGGACCATCGGGCAAGGGCAGGCAGGCCCTAAGGCAAGACAAGACAGGCAGGGGCCTCAGAAGACCTGACCCGGATCCTGAAACCAGGAGAGACTACCTGAGAATCATGGAATCCCAGAATCACAGTTGGGATCCTCAGGACTTAAGAATGGTGGACTCTCACAGGAAGCTACAGCACCATTAGTAAGAATGGTTTGCTTTTGGGGCACCTGGGTGGCTCAGTGGGTTAAGCATCTGACTTTGGCGCAGGTCATGATCCCGGGGTCCTGGGATCGAGCCCCGCATCGGGCTCCCTGCTCCGTGGGAAGCCTGCTTCTCCCTCCCCCACTCCCCTTGCTTGTGTTCCCTCTCTCGCTGTGTCTCTGTCAAATAAATAAATAAAATCTTAAAAAAAAAAAAAATGGTTTGCTTGTACTGAGTGCAAGGGAGAAGTTCAAGGCCAGACACCCAGAAGGTCATGCTGGAGTCAGAGTAGCTCACAGCCTCTCACCCCAACCCCTGCCATGTCACCAGGGAGCCATGAGAGCCCTGGGGGTGCCCGGGCAGCAGGCAGGGGTGGGCACACAAATAGCCATGCAGCATCCTGACATTCCTGCCCTTGGTGCTCAGACTGCAGCTGCGGGCTGTCAGGGCTCTCCCTGCCCCTCCCCCTTCACCGACAGGGTCCTGCCTGCCCTCTGCCCATATGGGAACTGTACAGGCAGGGAAGGTACCACTGCATCTCCCCAACCCACTTCCTGTACCCCTCCAACCCCAGAGAAGAGGGTCCCACCCACCCCTCAGGGTTCCCAACTCTGGGCCTCCTGTCAAATCCTGGAATTCCAGAACACGTTCTGAATCCACCCATTTCTTCCCACCACACAGTCGCTGCCATGGACATGGCGGGCTTTTCAGAGTCTATAAATCTCATTAGGTCCCTCTGGCTCCAAACTCTCCAGTGCTCCCCCAGCTCCCTCAGAATAAAATCCACCCTTGGCCAAGGCTCAAGGTCCCTTGTGGCCTTCGCTGTCCTCACTCGCTCTGCTCACTCCACTTGACGTCAGGGCCTTTGCCCTGGCTGTTCCCCCTGCATCTCTCCAAGCTTGGCTCCTCCTCTCCCTGCCAGGTCTGCACTCACCTCCTCCAAGAGTTCCCCTCCCAGAGACCCACATAAAGTCGTCCCCCAGGCCAGCTCCTTCTCTGACCTTGCTTCACTCAACCATCAGCTTCAGAAATGTGTGTTCACCTCCTGGCTCGGTCAGTGTCAAGTGCCTGTGATCCTGCTGTGTCCCCAGCAGCGGGTGCATGGTCCTGCACACAGTAGGTGCTCAATGATCGGGCCTCAGCCCAAGCGTCAGTCTGTAGCCTCCCACCTCACAGAGGAAGGGACAGGCTGGCAGTGGGGATGGCAACCACTCCCAGAACCTCCCTGGGGAGGGAGGATCGGGTTTGTGCGCGCTGCAACAATTTGCATATATTTGCATTCGCTTGCATGGCTTTTCGGGAAGGGGATCCCCTCCAGGATTTATCCTTTCCCATCAGATTCTCCAGATGGGCGCCACGCATCCGGGCCTGGAAAAAAATGAAGGCGGGGGAAGGAAAAGGAACTCAGGGTCCTCTCCGCACTCTCCTGGCCGGGGTGGCGGAGCGCATATTGGCGGGCAACGGCGCGTGTCAGCCGCCCTACCGCAGTCCCGGGGGAGGGCGGGGGGGTGCAGGCCGGCCCCGCCCAGCGCGCGGAGAGGGAGAGCCGGGGGGTGGGGGTGGGGGTGGGGTGGCAGGGGGCACGAAAGGATGGCAAGGGAGATGCTGGACCAAACTGGAGTGACGCGAGTTGGCCGGAGACCACCAGGAGGCGGCAGAGGCTTGGACAGGACTCCAGGGCCCTCGGGTTCAACCCGGCGGAGGTCTTAGATCCCTCCTGCTTGTGGAAGAGGGAACCCCGTTTGGGGACTGGAACCCAGAGGTCAGAGCCTCCAGAGGCCAAAGTCCCTCAAGTCCACCAGCAAAGGGCCCAAGACGACAGTGTCTGGGTCTCTTGGTGGCATGACCCCAGGCAAGGGATTTCCCCTCCCCAACCTGGATTTCCTCATTTGCGCGATGGGGGACATGTCAGACACTACCTCCCAAGGAGTCATGGGCCTCCCATTTATTCGGATTCGAGGCCCCTGACAGTCCCTCCCCCACGACCTCCATTATACATTTAACACCTGGCCCAGGTCAGACGCTCCATGAGTGTCTGGCACAGGAAACAACAAATGAATGAAGACACGAATGAATGAAGGCCTTCTGTGCCAGGCTCGCATTATGTAGGCTCGATTTATTCCTCGGGGCAGGGGCTACTTTATCTCCATTTACAGATAGGGAAACTGAGGTACAATGACAAGCAAAGACTCCTCCAAGTATGTCTGCATTTAGGACCTGAACCCCAATGTCTCCCACTCAGCTTAGCCTGGGGCTGGGGTTTGGTGATTTCCTCCCGCTAGGTTCTGAAGAAAGGGAATGGTTGCAAGTGCCAGTTGGGGGGAGGGGCGTTCAAGCAGAACGAGTTTTCCTCAAGCGGCAGGGCAACCCAGAAAATGAACCCCTGGCTTGTGGGAGAGTGAGCTCCCCTCAGCTTAAGGTACAAAAGCACAGCGGGGATTTGAATGCTGAAGCTCGGCTTCCAGCCGTGTGGCCCCAGGTGAGCGTGATATGCCACCTCGGAGCCTCAGTTCCCCACCTGTCAACGGGAGACATTAACAGCTCGGGGTGAGAGGAAAGTGCCACCGAAGTAAGAGGGGGTATTTGGGAGCCACACCCATCCCCACCCCCACCCCCAGCAGCCACCCACGTGGCCGGTCTTGGCCTATCTGACCTAGTCCCGGGCGGAAAGGGTGCGGGTCCTGCCCGCCCCCAACTCCAGGGGCGGGGTTTCGCGGACCCGGGAGCCCAATAAATCCACAGCCGGTCGCCGGGAGCCACCCCTTTAAGCCCTACGGAGACCTCCCGTCGAGGCCCGAGCGCCGAGCACAGCTCCCAGGGAGAGAGACCGACGGCTGGGCGGCCGACACACCGCTGCAAGCAGCCAGCCTTACCGAGCGGGAGGCGAGGGCCACCGACGGACAGACGGCAGAGGCAGACGCGTAGAAGAGGAGGGACAGGGAGGCAGACCGCCGCAGCGAGGATCCACAGATTCCTTGCCCAGGGAGCCCCGGCCCGAGTCCCTTCCACTCCCTCCCTCCAGGGGCCGCAGGAGACAGGTGTGCGGCCTCGCTGCAGAGGCCAAGCATCCTCCCATCTCCACGCAGCCCTGCCTCCTCGGTCGCTGCCAGTTTCCCTTACCGGGGGTGGGGGGGTGGGGGTGGCACGCGGGGTGGCTGGAAGGGCCGAGGACGCGCTTGGCCCTCGCACCTGCACCTCATGGCGGTCGTCGAGGCAGGAGCGCGGGCCACGTTCGGAGCCTGGGATTACGCGGTCTTCGCCCTCATGCTGCTGGTGTCCACAGGCATCGGGCTGTGGGTCGGGCTGGCGCGGGGCGGGCAGCGCAGCGCGGAGGACTTCTTCACCGGGGGCCGGCGCCTGGCCGCCCTGCCCGTTGGCCTCTCGCTGGCCGCCAGCTTCATGTCGGCGGTACAGGTGTTGGGCGTGCCCGCCGAGGCCTACCGCTTTGGCTTCAAGTTCCTCTGGATGTGCCTGGGACAGTTGCTCAACTCCTTGCTCACCGCCCAGCTCTTCATGCCGGTCTTCTACCGCCTGGGCCTCACCAGCACCTACCAGGTACCGGGCAGAGGCCCGGAGGCAGGACCTGCCTGGCTGAGAACGCAGGGATGTGGCGGGGAGGTCCTGGGGCTTTGACGTGCTGTACAGGGGGCGGCCGGCGGGCTCCTTGGGGCTTTAACAGTTAAGACAGGTGCGGAGGGTTCTGGGAAGTAGCCCCAGGCAGCGGGGTGAGGGGCAGGAAGAAGAGGAGCCGCCGTCCTGGTTCTCCTCGGTGGAAGCCCGCGCAAGGCGGAGCCAGGTGTGCACCAAGTGTGGACAGGCACGAACATGCCCCCCTCCCCCCACATGCTTGGGCGTGCGCACAGCTGAGCGATCGTCGGACAGTGGGCCAACGGTTCGAAACCCGACTTCCCCGCTTACTCTGCTCGGGCCTCCCAAGTGTCAAACTGGGCTAATAAGAGGACTTTCCTCCAGGGCAGGGGGTAAAGTGATTAAAATCATGACCGGTAGACAGTAGGCGACCAAGAACAGTTGGCCACAGGCAGTGTAGAGTCCGCTTGTTGACTCTGAGCGACACCGCCCCGGGGACCAATGAGCCACCAGTGGGGGCGGAAGAACGTATACCTTTGACCGATTCGTCTTCCTGGGCACACTTCGTGTGCCCAGGAGCGGGGATGGCGCGTGTGCACAGATGTGTGCACACTGATCGGAATCTGTGCGCTTGGCGGGGGCCCCCCACCGACAAGGGTGGAGAGAGAAGTTGGCCTCCGGAGGGAGGGCAGAAGCCACGAGGGCGGGTGAAGTACCCCAGAGGCCTCGATCTCCTGGGTAGTACCTGTCCAGGTGACCAAGAGCCTCGGCTCCTCCTTGCAGTACCTGGAGCTGCGCTTCAGCCGCAGTGTGAGGCTCTGCGGGACCCTGCAGTACCTGGTAGCCACAGTGAGTGGCTTCGGCCCCGCCCTCGCCCCCAGGGTCCCGCTCAGATCCGGCTCGGGTCCGGGTCTCCGTCGGCCCCGCCCGCAGCCCCCCCTTCCGTCACGGCCCCGCCCTTAGGGTCCCACCCCCATCCTGTAAGGCCCTTCTCAGGCCCATCCTCAACCTTTCTGGCCCCGCCCCCTGCGGCCCGAAGACCCGCCCCTAAACGCCCGGCCTGACCCCGCCCCCACCGAGCTCCGGATCCCCTACTGGCCGGACACCGCAAGCTCCGCCACCGCTATTCTCTTCCTACCCCCTTCCCTGTCCTCCGCGGGCCTCACTTGGTCCCGGCTCTCTACCCATAGGTGCTGTATACTGGCATCGTGATCTACGCCCCCGCTCTCATCCTGAATCAAGGTTTGACTCTGGGAGATCTCGGGAGGGTGACCGGGAGGGAGCAAAGGCTTTGAGACTAGACCGAAGGAGAGGGGAGGGGCAGCCCCAGGAGAGACTTGGGGAGGGAAGAATCCCGAAGAGATGAGACCCTAGACACTAGGGGCCAAGTTTGGGCCAAGTTTGCACCCTGCCTGGAGGCATAATGGTGGGGCGGTTTCCTTGTGCAGTGACTGGGTTGCACATCTGGGCCTCGCTCCTGTCCACTGGAGCCATCTGTACCTTCTACACGACTGTGGTGAGTGACACCCCCACCCCACGTGGGGGCTCCATGCCCACTGGGTCAGGGAGACCCTGAAGCCATCATCCACTCCTTACTTGCCCTTTCTGCTGAGGAAACCTGCATCTCAGCTGGACCTCTGTTTCCTCATCTTAATAACAAGTCATTTGAAAGACTTATTGCTGAGAGTCCAGGGATATGCTAGCTTCAGGACTGGCTGGACCCAGGGGCTACAACCGCGTCCTCTGGGCCCCTCTCCCATCTCTTGGGGTCCCATCAGCTCAGAAAGTGAGTTCCTATTTCAGGATGGGCTGGCAAAAGTCCTAGGAGGGTTCCGGTTGGCTGGCCCCAGTCTTGCGTGCAGGATGAACCAATCACAGAAGTTTGGGGGGCTGGGAAGATACTCTGGTTGGCTATTTCTGGAGCTGGGAGTCGATTGGCTTCCAGTGGATGGCCTTTGAGGGAGAAGGGGCTTCTCCAAAGGCAAATCAAGGGGCTCCCATGGGAAGGCAGCGGTATGGAGGCTGGTAGGGTAAAAGCAATAGCTAAGAACAATCGTCATAGTAGTAATGATAATGCTGTCAGCCATCACTCATTCACTCACTGAACGTGTATGTGGTAGGTGCTATTGCAAAGATTTTCCTCATACGAACTAATTAAATCCTCACAACACCATTTTCCGGATGAGGAAACCGGCAGAGAGAGGCACCAGTCCCAGCCACTGTTGTAAGCCAAACTGGGTTAGCCTCAGACAGATCCCTATCTGACCCCCTGCCTCCCCGTCTGTCACATCTTGCAGGGCGGCATGAAGGCTGTGGTCTGGACTGATGTGTTCCAGGTCGTGGTGATGCTAACTGGCTTCTGGGCTGTCCTGGCCCGAGGGATCATGCTGGTGGGTGGGCCCCGGCACGTGTTTGAGATTGCCCAGAACCACTCCCGGATGAACCAGATAGAGTGAGTAAAACCGTAGAGAGGGTCCTACAGAGAGGTGGAGCTGACATCCCTCTGCCCTGGGAGAAGCCAACCAATGCTCCTGCCCCAGGAAGCCCTCCCTGCTTCACTTCCCAGACTCCCCACACACCAAACATGTGCCTCCCCTCTCTAGACTGCCCTAGCCCGCATCCCTCCATCTGTCTCACCATGTCCCCCAGCCCAGACTGGAGACTGACGACTCTCTGAGGTCCCAGCTGGGCACAGACACTTTTTTTTTTTTTGGTCTTTTTTTAATTTTTGACAATTTTTTTTTTTTTTTTTTTATAATGCGTCTTGGTGAAGTCTTTTTTGGATTCAGTCTTACAGGGGACTTTAAGCTTCATGTCCCAAGATTTCCATATATTTCCCAATTTGGGGAATTTTTTCAGCCATTGTTTATCTTTTTAAGATTTTATTTATTTATTTGACAGAGAGAGAGAGAGACAGAAACAGCGAGACAGGGAACACAAGCAGGGGGAGAGGGAGAGGGAGAAGCAGACTCCCCGCTGAGCAGGGAGCCCGATGCGGGGCTCGATCCCAGGACCCAGAGATCATGACCTGAGCCGAAGGCAGATGCTTAACAACTGAGCCACCCAGGTGCCCCAGAAAGGTTTTTGAATGCATACATGGATGACTCAGTAAATAAATAAATTTTCGATCTGGCAAACTCCTACTCACATTTCAAAACCCACCCCAAAAGTCCCCTCAAGGCCCATAAGGTTCAGAATGGCCATCTGGGGCCCTTGGGAGGGTGAAGTCAATGTGGCATTCCCATATGGCTGTCTTGTCCCACCCTTATCCAGGTTTGACCTGGACCCGCGGAGCCGCTACACATTCTGGACTCTTGTGGTGGGTGGCACATTGGTCTGGCTCTCAATGTATGGTGTGAACCAAGCACAGGTGCAGCGCTATGTGGCCTGTCGCACAGAGAAGCAGGCCAAGCTGTGAGTGTTTAGGAGGGGCAGGGTGGGGGCCTCTGGGACCAGCTGCCCCCCTCCCCAGCCTGAGGCTGCCCCTCCCCCCAGGGCCTTGCTTATCAACCAGCTGGGCCTGTTCCTGATCGTGCTCAGTGCTGCTGGCTGTGGTATCATCATGTTCACGATCTATGTAGACTGTGACCCTCTCCTTGCAGGGCGTATCTCTGCCCCAGACCAGGTAAGTCTGGCCCAGGCTCCTAGGCCACTCCTGCCCTCCCCACCCCCATTCTGAACTTATGCATGGATGAACCTCTGGGAGCAAGGGTGGAACAGCATTCCTAGAAGAGAGAACAGCCTCCTCAGAGGTCCAGGGGCAGCAAAGAGCTTGGCACAGAGGAGGATCTGGAAGGAGCAGGGAAGACAAGGCTGGGAGGCAATGGGGAGCCTTAGGGGAAGTGGGCGCGCAGGGGAGGGGCACATTCAGATTTGGAGTCAGAGACTCCCTGAGGGATATTTTTTTTTTTAAGATTTTATTTGAGAGGGCGCCTGGGTGGCTCAGTTGGTTAAGCAACTGCCTTCGGCTCAGGTCATGATCCTGGAGTCCCAGGATCGAGTCCCACATCAGGCTCCCTGCTCGGCAGGGAATCTGCTTCTCCCTCTGACCCTCCCCCCTCTCATGTGCTCGCTCTCTCTCTCTCTCTCTCTCTCTCTCATTCTCTCTGTCTCAAATAAATAAATAAAATCTTTAAAAAAAAAGATTTTATTTGAGAGAGAGAGAGCATGAGGGGGGGAGGGTCAGAGGGAGAAGCAGACTTGAGCACAATGTGGGACTCAAGATCCTGAGACTCCAGGATCATGACCTGAGCAGAAGGCAGTCGCTCAACCAACTGAGCCACCCAGGGGCCCTCCCTGAGGGATATTAAGGAGGAGATGGGACGATGGTTCAGCATGAAATGATAGTGTTGATAAAAATAATCACCAGCTCTCATGACCTAAGCACCTACTCTGTGCCTTATGCTGTTCCTTTCACAAGCAGTTAGTCTCCCATAAAACCCTTCAACATGTGATGAGGCCAAGGCTGTCATGGCCCCCATTTTACAGATGAGGAAACTGGGGCTGGAGTGGGTGGGAAGCAACTGCCTGAGGTCAAATGTGAGCAGGGGCAGCACCAGGGCCAGGAGCCATGCCTGGTTCAGAGTCAGTTCAGAATCGGCAGAAGGGGGAAGGCTGTCCCATCTGCTGTCCTCCGCTGGGGTCAGCTCCTGGACTACCTGACTCTGCAACCTCAGCCAAGGGCTGCACCTATAGTTTTACTGTCCTCATCAGTAAAGCAGAGATGACGCGGGACTCTGCCTCACTGGGATCCCAGGGCACACAGTCAATCAACAAACACACACACAGTGCCCACTGTGAGCCCAGTCTGCACTGGGCCCTGGGGACATGCAGTGTGAGGACAGACAGAATCCCTCATCCTCGGGGTGCTGCTGTCCTGGACGCCAACCCCCGACTCTCCCCCACCCCACCCCACCCCACCCCCGCCAGTACATGCCCTTGCTGGTGCTGGACATCTTCGAGGACCTGCCTGGAGTCCCTGGGCTCTTTCTGGCCTGTGCCTACAGTGGCACCCTCAGGTAAGCAGCCCTCCTTGCTCACCCAGCTGCCCCTCTGTGGGATAGAACGTTCTGGGCATGTTCATCATTACAGTTCCTGCTTGGTCCCCAGTGGGCAGCTCAGGTGGGCTCCAGCAGAAGGCACGCCCTGGGGACAAGGACCCCAGCTGTGGGGTTTTCACCTTCTTAACACCTGGCAGGGCCACACCCGACTTCCCTCTCCCTTCTTTCTTTCCTGCCTTCTGCCCCCAAACAAATGTTTATTGAGCACCTACTACGCACTGAGCACCTACTATGTGCATATGTGGCAGGCACTGCCGTTCTAAATCCCAGGGCACAGCTGTGACCAAGTGGTCCCCCACTCCTGCCCTCAGGGGCCTCACATTCTAGTGTTTTCAAATACTCTGTGACTTCTGGCACATCCCTGCTCCTGCTGTGACCAGGGTCCCAAGCAGTTCTTGGCACTCTATGATTGCTATGTCATGAGAACTTGTGTCATTTGTGTCCTTGGTCAGGGGTGTCCTTGCTCTCATGGGAGCGTCTCAGATCTGGGGGTGCGGATGGTGGGGTGGTGGACTTCTCCACTCTTGGGGAATTCTGTCACCCATGCCTCTGCCCTTGGGCTGCGTGGGGTCCTGGCAAGTCAGATGGTATGAGCAGCTGGGGCCTCCCACAGCAGGTGGACCCCGGGGGGGTGTGTGGCCAGTCCCTTGATGAGGCCTGTTGACCACTGGCCCCACCCCACTCTCAGCACCGCCTCCACCAGCATCAACGCCATGGCTGCAGTCACCGTGGAGGACCTCATCAAACCCCGGCTGCCCAGCCTCGCACCCCAGAGACTCGTAATGGTCTCCAAGGGGCTCTGTGAGTTGGAGGAACTCGGGTTGGGGGGGCAGGGCAGCATCTCCCCGCTGACTATGCCACCCCCCATCTGCAATAGCACTCATCTATGGCTCAGCCTGTCTCACCGTGGCAGCTCTGTCCTCACTGCTGGGGGGAGGCGTCCTCCAGGTGAGCCCCCCGCCCTGACCCAGCCCCATCTCCACAAGAAACGGGGCATCGTCCGCATTGAACTGAAACCCAGGGAGGGTCCTACTTTTCGTGGCAGAACTGGGTTTTGTCCGATGCCACCAGCCTGATACTTTCTGCAGCCACCTGCCTGGTGGCAATGGGAGGTGGGAGGTGGGGGGGGGCGGGTGGCTTGGAGGCAGGGAGGGCCTCACCCTGGCTCAGAGGTGGGACCAGAATTTGTCAGGAGAGAGAATCCGCGTCTTTGCCTCCAACACAGGGGAGAGAGACAGGGACAGGGAGTCCCGTCCCCTTTAGGGAAACAAGCAGAGTCTCAGGGTCCACAGTGGAATTACTCAGGTCTTGCTTTCCCAGCGAGCAAACTGAAGCCAGGAGAGGTGGGATGCCTCTGCCCTCAGCTCCCCCTCCCCACCCTTTCTCACAGGGCTCCTTCACCGTCATGGGAGTCATCAGCGGCCCCCTCCTTGGAGCCTTCATCCTGGGGATGTTTCTTCCTGCCTGCAACACGCTGGTGAGTGGGGGCAGCCAGGAGTTGGGAGGGCACATGGCCTCTCTCCCCTGACCTGGGCTCTGCCCCCAGGGCGTCCTCTCTGGGCTGGCCACCGGCTTGGCGCTCTCGCTGTGGGTGGCCGTGGGTGCCACTCTATACCCGCCCAGCACCCAGTCCTTGGGAGTCCTGCCATCATCGGCTGCCGGCTGTGTCGTGCCCTCAGCCAACGCCTCTGGCCTCCTGGGCCAGCTCCTGGCCACCAACACCTCCAGCAGGAACCCCAGGTGAGCCGGCTGCTCAGAAGGGTGGGTGTGGCCTGAGAGGGTGTGGTGGGGGAGGGGGGCTCTGAAACTGAGTCTTGAATGCAAAAGAGGAATGTGCTTGGGAAGAGGTGAAGGAAGGGCATTCCCAGTGGAGAGAAGGGAAAGTGCAAAGGGCCTGAGGTCGGGTTCAGTTTAGTGCATTCCAACTATGGGGAGGATGGGGTGTATTTAGTGGGCCGAGAAGGATAGATGAGGTCCAGCCAGAAGAATTTGGTCTGATTCTTTATTATGATTATTACTCTGGAGCTATAATTTACAGACCATTAAATGAGCCATTTAAAAGTGGTTTTTAGTGGATTCACAAGGTTATACAACCATCACCATTAACTCAAGAACATTTTCATCACCTCACAAGGGAGCCCCATCTCCATGAGCAGGCACTCCCCATCTCCCCCTCCCCCCAGCCCCTGGCAACCACTAATCCACTTTCTGTTGCTATGGATTTGCCTGTCTGGACATTTATTATAAATGGAATTATACAATACATGGCCTGTTTTGTCTGGCTTCTTTCACTCAACATGATGTTTTCAAGGTTTTTGTTTTGTTTTTGGTGTTTTCAAGGTTTATCCACATTGTAGCACATATGAGGGCTTGATTCCTTTTTATGGCTGAATAATATTCCCTGTATGTATGGACCACATTTGTTTATCCATTCATCCCTTGGACATCCGGGTTGTTTCTACTTTTTGGCTACTGTGAACAGTGCTGCTATGATCATTTGTGTACAAGTTTTGGTGTGGACGTATGGTTTCATTTCTCTTGGTTTGTACCTAGGAATGGAACTACTGGATCATATAGAAGTTCTTTTTAAATTATTTTTAAACACTTTTAAAATATTTTATCTATTTATTTGAGAGAGAGAGCATGAGTGGGGGTGGAAGAGCAGAGGGAGAGGGAGAAGCAGACTCCCCGAGGAGCAGGGGGCTCGATGTGGGGCTTGATCCCAGGACTTGGAGATCATGATCTGAGCCGAAGGCAGACGCTTAACCATCTGAGCCACCCAGACACCCCTATATCTTTTTTTTTTCCGAGAAATGCCTAGTCAAACCCTTTGCCCATTTTTTAATTAGTTCATTTGTTTTTTTTATTGTTGAGTTATAATTTATATATTCTTTAAATCTTTATGTATTCTGGACACTAGATCCTTAGACAGGTGTATGATTTGCAAATATTTTCTTCCACTCTGGGTTGTCTTTTCATATCTCTTGATAGTGTCCTTTGATGCACAAAAGATTTCAGTTTTGATGAAGTCTAATTTATCTATGTTTTCTTGGGTTGCTTGTGCTTGTGCTTTTGATGTCAGATCTAAGAAACTATTACCAAATCCAAGATCATAAAGATGCACACCTATGTTTTCTTCTAAGAGTTTAATTTGGGTAGATTCTGAGAGTAATAGGGAGCTGTGGAGAGTGGTGAGCAGTGACAGGGAGTAATCTGAGTTACATTTCAGTAATGCTCCTTCTGGCTGTGTGTAGAGAACACCTACGGGTGGAAGTGGGTTAGCTGGAGAGAAAGAGAAGTGGCTACTGCACACATCTGAGTGAGCAATAATGGAAGACTGGGCTAAGCCTTCGCAGTGGAGATGGGAGGAAATGAACAGACTGGGAGTGGCTTTTGGACTCATGCACACCTCTCCTATCCCTAGCCCTGAAATGGACCTTGATCGACCCGCCTTAGCTGACAGCTTCTATGCCATTTCATATCTTTACTATGGAGCCCTGGGCACGCTGAGCACTGTGCTATGTGGAGCCCTCGTCAGCTGCTTGACAGGTAAGCAGGACGTATGGCCTTCTCAGAGATCACCTTGTGAATCCCTCTACCTCCAGGACCCACTGGGCAGGAAGAAGAGGAAGGACATTCCCGTCAACCAAATGGCCCCCACGTGCTGGACGACGCATCAGCACCCTTTAGGCTGTGTCGCCTTCAGGACAAACTCTGCGCCTTGCAGGGCTGGTCCCGTTTTGCGAGGCAGGAGAAACTGAGGCGCCCCCCCCCCTCGCCCCAACCTGCCTTTCTGGCCTCTCCCCCACCTCCAAAACCAAGTCCTCGCTAGAGGATATGGGGTGAAGCCGCGAGGCGCTGTCCATTGTGCTGAAATATCTTCTCAGCAGGGCCTCAGCCACTCCGTGTCCCTCCGGGAATTCTGAATGCCACGGAGAAGTGGAAAGAGATCAGGAGAAATTAATAGTGATCACAGTACCTGTTCTTGCTTCCTGTGTCTCCGACTTTACATTCACCAGGACTTTCTTGAGTCCTTCTCTGTGCCAGACGCTATTCTAGATGCTGGGGAAATAATGAACCACCCACTGATGTATTACATCCCCTCACTGTGTAGATGAGAAAACTGAAGCCCAGAGAAGGGTAGAGGCTTGCCAGGGTACCCAGTGGGTCATTATCGAATCTGGGATTGGAACCCATCAGAGCTCTCCCTTCCCCCTCCCTCTCCAGTTCCCATCACCTCTTCACTAAATATCTCCCTTTCCCGCAGGCCCCACCAAGCGCAGTGCCTTGAGTCCTGGGCTGCTATGGTGGGATCTTGCACGGCAGACAGCATCGGTGGCCCCCAAGGAAGAAGTGGCTACCTTGGATGACAGCTTGGGGAAGGTCAGTCACAGGGCTGGCTCCCAGAGCAGGGGGAGGGACAGTGAAGTGACTTTGGGTCCCTTGGGCATGGCCATAAGTCAGGGGAGGGAATTGGTGAGTCACCATCTTTCTCAGCGTCTTCCAGAGAAAAGGCTTGGTTGAGAGCTGACATGTCTTCAACACTTTTTATTACACCCTTTAACAAAGACTGAGAATTTCATACTATTCCTTTCCTTGTATTACGTCAAGTCTGGCAGGTAAAACTGGTTTACCTTTAAGGTATTGATTTAAAATCTCTTCTTTTTTTTTTTTTTTTAAAGATTTTATGTATTTATTTGACAGAGAGAGAGAGCACAAGTAGGTAGAACAGCAGGGAGAGGGAGAGGAAGAAGCATGCTCTCCGCCCAGCAGGGAGCCTGACGTGGGGCTCGATCCCAGGACACCGGGATCATGACCTGAGCCGAAGGCAGGCGCTTAACCACCTGAGCCACCCAGGCGCCCCTAAAATCTCTTCTGTAAATAAAAGTACTTAATTCAGAAGTGAGTCAGCTTCGAGAAAATCTTACATAAGAAACATGAGCCGGGGTAGGCCAACTTCACCCAAAGCTGTGTGGTTGCTATGTGAATTCCCTGAATTTGGAAAATGCTGTCCCTGATCCAAACATGCCTCTGCTTTGAAATCCCTGTTTCATTTTCTCATTTCTTACTCTGGGCTGGGGTTCTTGTCCACTGTCTAGGAGGAGCAGATGAAAGCTAAATTGAGAAATAAGTAGGATCTCAGCAGGTAATGAGGACAATAAAACAGGGTACTGTGATAAAGGTGGCCTCTTGGAAGAGGTAAGAGATAGAGCCCCTAAGGAGGAGGAGCCAGCCCTAGGAAGATCTGGGGGAAGGGCATTCTTGATGGAGGGCACAGCAGGGGCAAAAGGCTGAGGCCAGAAGCTTGAGAAGGGGAGGTATTGGGGCGCCTGGGTGGCTCAGTCGTTAAGCGTCTGCCTTCGGCTCAGGTCATTATCCCAGGGTCCTGGGATCGAGCCCTGCATCGGGGTCCCTGCTCGACGGGGAGCCTGCTTCTCCTCTCCCACTCCCCCTGCTCGTGTTCCCTCTCTTGCTGTGTCTCTCTCTGTCAAATAAATAAATAAAAACTTAACAAAAAAAAAAGAGAGAGAGAGAAGGGGAGGTATGGAGAGGGAAGGGATTTGGCTGGAGTGTTTTTAAAGCCCCTTTCAGCTGCTGTGGGGAAATACTTATTTTCTTGAAGGGGAGCAGGCAGAAAGAGTGAGAGGGAGGCAGGCATCCTTGCAAGCATTGACGGCTTGGACTATAGGTGACGTGGGCATGGGGGGAGAGAGAGAAGCGGGTGGAGGTTTTGGAGGCAGAAGGCACAGGACTGGCTGATGCACTGAGCAAGGGGACAGTTGTGCAACCCTGCCCAGGTTCTGTCCTTCGAGGCCCTCAGGGATCCCATCTGGAGGTTGAGCTGACACAGAGCAGAATGGATCTCTGACAGTGTCTTTCTTCTCTTTTCATTCCAGGGTGCTGAGGAACTGCCCCCTGGAACCAAGAGGCCTCCTGACTTCCTGCCCACGGACGAGGACCATCTGCTCTTCCTGGGGCAGAAGGAGGTGAATGGAGCTGGCTCCTGGACCCCCAGCAGTGCACATGACCATGGTCAGGACCTTCGGGAGACAGACCTCTGAGCCAGCAGGGGACTGACCACCTGGGATGGAACCTCAGGGTGGCCCCTCCCACGCCACAGAACAGCCTCGGGCTCCAATTGCCTGGACTGTGTCCTATGCAAATGAGTTTGGGATCCCTACCCTATGGAAAGAGGTGAAGCCCTGCCTTTGGGAGGTCATTTTATCCAGCCCCCTTCCAGCCAGCCCCTAGTCTTAGATGCTGCACCCTCGCCTGCTCCCCCAAAATGAAGCCAGATTTCTCTCTATGTACAATAGAAAGATGTTGGAGTCCCCTCTGGACAACATGGGAAAACTCTAGGCCCAACATTAAGGTCTGAGAAAGTCTCCAGCGCTTCTCTGGAACACGTCTGAATATCAGCAAGGATTTGGGAGGTCCTCAGGCACAACCCCCTGCACCCCATTTTGCAGATGGGGAAACTGAGGCCTGGAAAGGGGCAACAACTTGACCAAGGTCACAGAGCACACCAGAGATTCATTGAGAGTTGGGAAACCAGCTCTTCCACCTTCACTGCCTCCCTGTTTTCCTCCCTTTGGAGGGTCAGACATCACATGACTCCTGACCTTGGGAACAAGAAGGGAGGATAAAGGAGAAATAACATTTTCGATCATCCTCTAATGCCTGCACACTATGTATCTCATCCACTAAGGAGCATGAACCCACTTCACAGAGGAATAAACTAAGGCTCAGTGAGGTGGCCTGAGGTTATGTCAAGTAGGGTCTGGGCAGGGACAGACCTGGGAGCTGCATGATGCTGAAGGTCTATTGCCAACATGTCACTGGTGGACAGGGTCAGATAGGTTGGGCGAATCCATGTCTGGGGACGTGCTTGACTTTGGATGGAGATTTAATCCATGCACATCCAATAAACGGACTTTGATGCTTGATGTTCTGTGCTCTCCTCAGTCAGATCTGAGTGTGAATCTCAGTGTCTCTTGCCCCAAGACTGAGCGAATAAACCTGAGTGTTTAAGCATCAGAGCGAGGTGATAATTGCCATCTCGGGGTGCATTATGCTGCCCTCCCTGACACATAGCTTCTCTCCCCCTCCTGATTTGCTCTTGAAGCATCCCCTCCCCACTGCCCTTTCTGCCTGGACCCTGCCAGCCTCCACACTGTCCCTGCACCAGTCCCTTGGGGGTCTCTGGGACTTTGAGAGCTGGCTGCACTCACATCTGCCCACATACTTGCTATGGCTCCTGTGGTCCCCAAGGGAGCATCCCCTACTCAGTTCAATAGGGTCCTCCCAAAATTCAAGACCCAGAACCTCCAAATGTGACCTTACTTGAAGAGTCTTGGCAAGTGTACTTAGATTAAGATAAGGTCATACTGGATTAGGGTGGGCCCTCAACTCAATGACTGTGTCCTTATAAGAAAAGAAAAGACAGATACATAGGGAGAAAGCCATGTGGACACCGAGGCAGAGATTGACACATCTACATGGCAAGGGACATCAAGGATTGCTGGAGCCACCAGAAGCCAGGAGAGAGGCAAGGGGGGTGGGGTTCTCTCTTAGAGCCTTCAGAAGGAGTACAGCCTGCCAACACCTTGATTTTGGACTTCTGGCCTCCCGAGCTGGGAGAGAATACATATCTATTATTTTAAGCTATGGCAGCTCAGGAAGTTAATACATACCTCGGGATCTGACCTCTCTCCACCCCTCAGAGACCTGGCCCTCTGTACAGGCTGTTTTCTGGAGACCTTTAGATTTGGACTTAAAAGGGACCATTGCAAATTTTCCATCACTGATCAAGTAGCATGGGAAGCAGACCTTCCACTGGTTAGTGGTGCTCACTCAGAGCAGAGCCCAACTTGGAGGTGAGAAGAGGCATGAGGGGCTAAGGCGGAACAAGCCAGTTTGGCTGATATTTTAGAGATCCAGCCGTGTTGTCCCATTATCAATAGTTTATTCTTTCCATTGCTGAAGAGTATCCCACTGTATGGATGAATCACAGTTTGTTCAATGATTCACTATGTCAGCCTTGAAAATAAAGCAGCCAGTTATTTTACTAGCAAAATGGGTTTATTTGGGAATGGCAGAGGAATTGCAATTTGGGACCTGCAAGCTATGGCAAAACCATAGCCAAGTCTAGAGAACAAAAGAGAGGAACATTACTTTATAGAGAAAAAGAAAGAAGTTGGGCGCTTGGGAGGCTCAGCTGGTTGAGCATCTGCTTTTAGCTCAGGTCATGATCTCAGGGGTCCTGGGATCCAGCCCCACAAGGGGCTCCCTGCTCAGCGGGGATTCTGCTTCTCCCTCTCCCTCTGCTGCTCCCCCTGCTTGTGCTCTTCCTGTCCTTCTCTCTCTCTCAAATAAATAAAATCTAAAAAAAAGAAGAAGGAAGTTGGGAGGGGTGACTGAGGGTTTGGGGAAAGTGAGGGTTCAGGATGGTGATGGTTTCTCATTGGCTGAGTTGTGGCAGTTTCTCACTGGCTGGGCTGAAGGAGAAAACCTTTCCTCCTGCTGGGCTAGTACAATAGGCTTCTTATTGGAAAATACCAGGTATGCTTCTTCCAGTTGGAGGTCTGCAATTGTCCAGTTGTCGAGGCATCAGAACGCCCCCTGCTGGCCCCCCAACTATAAACGCTGCTTCCTATATTCAGTTTCACTTCCAGGTAATGAACGCTTTGGTTGTTTACATTTTGGGCTATTACAAATAAAGTTGCTGTGAACATTCACCTACACATCTTTGTGTGGACATATGCTTTCATTTCCCTTGGTTAAACACCTAGGAGTGAAATGGCTAGAGTCTACAGTAAGTGTGTGTTTATTTAAGAAACTGCCAAACGGGTTTCCAAAGTGTTTGTCCCATTTCACGTTGTTGCCAGCAACATATGAGAGTTTCAGTTGTTGGGGCGCCTGAGTGGGTCAGTCGGTTAAGTGTCTGCCTTAGGCTTAGGTCAAGATATCGGGGTCCTGGAATCAAGCCTCATGTTGGCTTCCCTGCTCAGCGGGGGGTCAGCTTCTCCCTCTCCTTCTGCCCCTCCCCTTGCTTGTGCGCCCACACTCTCTTTCAAATAAATAAATGAAATCTTTAAAAAAGAGAGAGTTCCAGTTGTTCCACATACTTGCCAGAACTTAGTTAAGTTCATCCTTTTAATTTTGGTCACTTTAGTGGGTCTTTGGCCAAGTGTCTATTCAAAACTTTTGCCCATTTTTTTTTAAAGATTTTACTTATTTGACAGATAGAGACATAGCAAGAGAGGGAACACAAGCAAGGGGAGAAGCAGGCTTCCCACTGAGCAGGGAGCCTGATGCAGCGCTTGATCCCAGGACCTTGGGACCATGACCTGAGCCAAAGGCAGACACTCAACGACTGAGCCACCCAGGCGCCCCACCCTTTGCCCATTTTTAAACTGAGTTCTTTATTCTCTTATTATTGTAAGAATTCGTTTTTAAATTTTAAAAAAGATTTATTTATGTATTTATTTATTTTAAAGAGAACGCGTGCCCGCATATGAGCGGGGAGGGGCAGAGGAAGTGGGAGAGCGAGAGAAGCAGGCTCCCTGCTGAGTGGTGAGCCTGAGGCAGGGCTCCATTCCTGGGACTCTGAGATCGTGACCTGAGCTGAAATCAAGAGTTGGTTGCTTAACTGACTGAGTCACCCAGGCGAGCCTAAGAATTCTTTTGTACTCTGGATACAAGTCCTTTGCTAGCTATATGCAGTGCCAGTATTTTCTCCCAGCTTGTGTCTTGCTCTCAGTTACTAAAGATAGCCTTTGGAAGAGCAGAATTCATAGTTTTTTGTTTGTTTGTTTGTTTAAAGATTTTATTTTATTTATTTATTTGAGAAAGAGAGAGCACAAGAAGGGGTATGGTCAGAGAGAGAAGCAGACTCCCTGCTGAGCAGGGAGCCCGATGCGGGACTCCATCCTGGGACTCCAGGATCATGACCTGAGCTGAAGGCATTCGCTTAACCAACTGAGCCACCCAGTTGCCCCTGTGGTTTTGATTTATCAAAATTACCCATTTTTTTCATTTTTTTTGTAAAATATACACAACACAAAAATTACCGTTTTAACCATTTTTAAGTGTAAAGTTCAGTGACAGTAAGTAAATGCACATTGTTGAGCAACCATCACTACCATCCATCTCCAGAAATTTTAATAATCTGAAACTGAAACTCTATACCCATTGAACACCAACCCCCCATTTCTCTCTCCCCCCAGTCACTGGTAATCACCTTTCTACTTTTTTTGTCTATGAGTTTGACTATTCTTTTTTTTTTTTAAGATTTTGTTCATTTGTTTGAGAGAGAGAGAGTGAGAGAGAGAGCACAAGCTGGGGGTGGGGGGAGGGGCAGGGGGAGAAGCAGGCTTCCCACTGAGCTGGGAGCCTGACACGGGGCTCGATCCCAGAACTCTGGGATCATGACCCGAGCCAAAGACAGATGTTCAACCGACTGAGCCACCCAGGTGCCCCCTTTTATTCTTTTAAGATTTTATTTATTTATTTGAGAGAGAGAGAGAGAGAGCGCACAAGCAAGGGGAGGGGCAGAGGGAGAGGAAGAAGGACAAGCAGACTCCCTGCTCAGCGCCAGAACCTGACGTGGGGCTTGATTCCAGGACTCCGATTTCATGACCTGAGCTGAAGTCAGGCACAACCAACTGAGCCATGCGGGTGCCCTTCCCTTTTTTTTTTTTTTTTTTTAAGATTTTATTTACTTTGAGAGAGAGTAGGGGGTAGGGCAGAGGAAGAGGGAGAGACCCCCCATTGAGTGTGGAACCCAATTTGGGGCTCAATCTCACTACCCTGAGATCATGACCTGAGCTGAAATCAAGAGTCAGACACTTAACCGACTAAGCCACCCAGGCGCCCCTGAGTCCTACTATTCTAGGGACATGTAATTGGAATCATGCTGTCTTTGTCCATTTGTGTCTGGCTTATTTCATTTTGCATAATCTTCCATGGTTCATCCATGTTGTAGCATGTGTCAAAATTTCCTTCCTTTTCAAGGCTGAATAATATTCCCTTGTGTGGATATACCACATTCTGTTTATAC